TTGCTCATTAGGCTGCCAAGACTAGCCCCAAGCTCTTATCATCAGCGACACTTGTCGTTGTTGCTGTTGTAATTGTTTGTTGTTGTTTCTTCTTAACCCTGTCACAGCAGGTGACATAGGTCAGACTGTAGTCGGCGGTCATTCAATGTGCGCACAACTGAGTCTTTGAGTCTCTGAGTCTCTGCTTGGGTCGTTGGGGGTCTGTGCTTACGATATCTATAAGTGTCAAGGTTAACTAGAGTCCAATGCATCAGATACGTAGTATATGCTTACCTGTATATATATCGTTATTATATTATCTTAATTAGTTTAGCTCAGCTTTAAAATTGTGTTTAATTCGATTTAAAATGTATTAAGAAGACGATGCTCTCTCTCTCTCTTTCTCTCGGTCTATTTCTCTATCTTTCTCGCACTCTTTTTCTCTTTTTTCTCTTTCCCTCTTTCTCGCTATATATATTTTTCTCTCTCTCTTTTTCTCTCTCTCTCGCACTCCCTGTCTCTTTTTTCTCTTCCTCTCTTTCTCTCTATATATATTTCTCTATCTTTCTCGTTTTCTCTTTCTCTCTCTCTCTGCCTATCTCTCTTTTTCTCTCTATATTTCTCAAGGTTTATGTAATTATTAATCAACACATTTCAAATTAAAAATAAGTTTGGTTCATAAAAAACAACTTTTGAGGGCGACTCAGTTCGAACCCTTGCATTTATCTAAGCATATTTGATAGATGTAACTGTTGGATAGATAAATATCTGAGGCTTGCAATATTGCAATTATAGATTACAAATTATACAATATTAGTTCAAATATTTATCGCAAAGAACCATGTTAAAAATTATTCCTTAGATTTTCGTTTACCTCGATTTCTCTCAGTGTATCACACAGCACTAGCTTTGTGCCTTGTGCTGCTCACTTTTGTGGAGAGCGCTAATCGCGCTGCCCACATAGCTGGAATTTAACCTGTTCAGGGCCAATGCCGCCGAATGCAAAACTGCTGCCACCTTATCGCCTTATCTGAGCGGACAGACAGACTAACAACAAACAGCAGTAGAACACACTCGGCTACAACAACAACAACAACGCACATCAGTGGGCCTAGTCGGAGGCGTATTTACATAAGAGCGGGCACGTAGTTTCTCAATACACTTCACTTCGATCGCCTTGGCTTACTCGGCTAGTTTGTGACAGTTAGCAAAAGGGGACTGAGAAACACAGTAAGAAAGAACTACTTGGAACACGTACTTTGAAATCCATATACTCTTGCAAAAGAAGCCACATATTCAATCCCATTAATGTTTAATCCCACTTAAACGTAAAATAACTTAATCTAAGGCGAGTCTGTTTCGCCTTCGATGGGAAAGCTCGGTTCTGACAATTTTTATGATTTTCTATTGGAACTTAGTTTCAATGTGTTCTAATATTAAATCTGGAACGAATCGGATTGCTATATCATTAAGCTGTCATAGAAACTATCGGGTTATTTGATGAATTACTTATTTGGTTTAACAGAGTTTCTTAGCCAAATGCAACAATAATACCAAATATATATGAGCTATATAGTCACAAGTTATACTCTATCATAAAACTTTTCTGAAAATAAACTGGTTTGGATATTCATATTTGTTAGCATGAATCACACATCCTTGAAAGGGCATTGCAAGTGCGGCGTTGTGAATATACAAACCGTTTCTTTTTGGTGTCAAATTATTAACCAGTTTTCAAGGCGTCAACTTTTAAGTGGGCACTTTGGGCGAGTGTCAACTGCATTTTCCAATTAGACAGCCAGACAGCAGATACGTGCATATGCATACTTATATGCATATATATATATATCTGTGTGTAATGTATACATATATATGTACGTGTGTATAAAGCAGTCTGATCTTTGCATTTGGCGGTCTGTTGAATTTGACATCTAATGCAGCTGAAATTGACACACAGCAAACTGTTTTGCTCGCGGCTGTTGTCTGTTTGAATGCCCTACCCTAGCCTAGCCTATCCTAGCCTACCCTACCCTACCTCTACCCCTGGCCTCGGCCCCGGCCCCTGTCCGCCCTTCAATAACTCACTCTCATCTGATAGTTGTGTCTTCGGGTCGAAGGCAGTTGATGTGTGCCAATGTTTGCCTATTTTTGTTTTCGTTCAATGGAATTCGATTTCAATTCTTGTGGCTGCTGATATTTGTTTGTTCTTAGCTCTTTAATCGCCCAATCTTCAAAATTGAAAAGCCATCTGAACTGGGAGTAAATAAACAGATGATAGGATGAGAATGAGTCGGGCAAATCAATTGCTGTTTTTTTCTTTCTTCCATTATTTTGTATATGTATACTTCTTTCCCTTATGGCATCCAAACATAAATACACACGAACTGAATCGTACTGCATTGTAGAATGCGAGCAAATTGTGAATAATGTGATTAATTTAAGTCGCGTTCATTATTCAAGTTGTCATAGCTAAAATTAAAGGGAATACAGCAAGTCATAGCTGCGACTATGTAATACTTGAGTGGAATTATACTTGCAGAGGCAGATATTTAAATACATGCATGCATATATGTTAATATATCCGCGTTCGATTCGGTTCGGGAACCTGTGAATGGGTTCGTTCCAATCCAATTGCTGGTTCGGCTCATGATTGATGAGAAAATGATATTCGATTGGGCCCGATTTGCAGCCTCAATGCGATTATAGATTTCTGGGAAAGATTTTACTAAAATTTGTTACGCAGAATTCATTAAAAATTTTATTGAAATCGTTATAACCATTTTTCAGAAATATAAATATTTCGTTGAAATCGTTTTAACCAACTTTCAGGAATAATATTCGAATCCAGCTGTCAACATTTGTTACATTCTATTAATATGCTAATAAAACTAATCGAGAGGCAGAAAATGTCATAAGCGTGCCTCCAATTAGTATATTATTTAAATTATGATATACAGATTGGCACAGATACAAACTTGTATATCTCCGTTAATGGGAAGGACAAGCTGCCTCTGATCTAATAAAATATTTATGAATCCACGTAGAAGCCACACTCAACAAATCATTATTATAATTGAGCATACAGTGGGTGGAAAATGTTTGCGTTCACGCGAATATTTAAAACACAAACATTTCATCTGCTCAAATATGCATGCGAGAGTATATTACAGAATTGCTTATTACAAGGAAATTAAAACGGCTAAACATGTTTTACTAATACAACTAATACACACGAATATAAATGCAAATCAAATTGCTTTGATTTAAAAAATATTAATTCTTATGAATTTTAAAGATAATTCATGGTAGACTGAATTTTTGTCTGCACTGTGACTACATAAAATGTAAATTATATGGCCCCACTATCGAAAATCAAAGCCAATTTGTCAGCCAGAGGTGTCAAAGAATTCAAATTATATTTGCATAGCCCGAAAGCCAACTTAATTATGTATGTAAGCACATGCATGCGTATGCATACATGCGTATACATACATATGCATGTTATTGTGAACAAACGAATTCATAGAGCTTATTGGCTCTACAAATACACACACTCACACATATATATGAATATATATATATATTTAAAACGCGTTTCACTTTTCAACAAGAGAACTGAGACAGGCCCGCTTAGCCGAGTCACAAACCCACGCATAAATCACACGCCTAACAACAAAAACCCAGGCTCAAGCTGATTTAACGTGTTTGTGTGCGTGCGTGTGTGTGTGTGTGTGTGCTTGTGTGTGCGTGAGTGCTGTCTATTGTTTGCGGTACTTATAATTTTTCATTTGCTTTCAAATGTGTCTTCCGACAAGCACTTTGAAATTTTCCTAGGTCCCAGCTATTTTTGAGTGTACTTGTCTACGCTTTATGGCGTGAAGATAAAAAGCAAGCAGAAGCGCCAAAACGAACGAGCACAAGCAAAGCGAATTTTGAAGGCTCTATTTGGTTATATTTTATTAAAACTAGACTCTCTTTGAATTTTGCGATTATTGTGTAATAATACGTGTTAAATTAATTTCAACAAAGATCATGAACTCGTATTTGGTTTTACGAAATGTTCATAAATAGCGGAACTTCAACCTATCAAATCTTTGACCGACATTTCCACCAAGCGGAATTGATTATCTGAAACACTTCTTGCATACAATTTAATAAAGATCTTTAAAAGTGAGTTTGGAATGATCGGATAGTAAACATAAAAGTTCCATCCAACCGTTTTTCGCGCTTTTTCCACACATGCGGGTGAAATTTCCTAAAACCCCGTCTACAGCTTTCTAGCTCTTACGGTTTCGGCTGTGCATTGATCAATCAGTCCGGACAAACAGTTTTATATATGTATAGAGAAGATAATGGCATGCACGTTTGCACATATGTGCATATACATATGTATGTTTATATGTACATGCTTCTTAGTCACAGTTTGTTAAAACTTGGCCAATCCTTTTCACCCTGACCGTCAGGCATGTTAAAGCTAAAATGCTCTTGACAAGAAGAGTGGCATTCAAAATAAAAGCCAAACAACTTTGTGTTTATTGCATAAAAAAGCATTAAAACAACAACGACTCATATACACGACGGCAACAACAACAACAACAACAACAGCAAGAAGAGCCACGACCACGGCAGAAAATACTAGCACACAGCTGTGCTACGCGCGCCTACTCTTTGACACGCAAATGCGGAGAGCTTTCGACAGCGACGCTGCTGCGAGAGAGAGCATGCGCGCGTCGCTCAGCTGCCTTCGTTCTCTGAGTTTTGCTTATTTGCCGTTTAGTTGTGTTGCTTTTGTTATTGTTGTTGTTGTTGCTTGTGCTGCTGCTTCCTTCCCATTTCTACTACGTTGCATTCGCTGAGCGCCGCCGTCGACGCCGCCGTCAGTTGAAATTCGAACGTTGACCGAAATTGTTGCTCTCGTCATAAACTCTGCACAGCAAAAGGCAAACAAAATATATATACATATGTATATATATATATATGTATAAACAAACCCATTTTTATTAAACATTTGTATTTTTTTCGTGTGTCTTTCTTTCTGTGTGCGTGTGTGTATCTTATGTTGTGTTATACTGATAAGCATTAATTGTCAAAAGCAACGCCAAACAATAACAAAAGCGGGCAGCAGAACTTTTGCCCACTCACAAGATCATTCCAAAACCAGACGCAGTTGTTGTTGCCGCTGCTGCTGCGCTGTCTGCGCATAGCTTCGTGACGTTTCCACTAGCAGCTGATAAGGCGCCACATATTACACATTTCGCACGAACGCTCTCTCCCTCTCTTTTCACCCGTCTCTCTCTCTCACTCACTCGTTCTCTCTCTCTCTGTCACGCTCTCGCCAATTGGCTTGCTGAGCTGTGCTTTTCGAGTGCTCTGAAGTCACGTCGGTTATCGGCAGCGACGCGTCGTCGCAATTTTGCTGGCATTGCTCTTTGGCACCTTTGGCTAACCAGACACAGTAGCAACAGCTGCAGCAGTAGCCAACTGAAGAAAATGCCGCTTAAACAGCAACAACTGCAACAAATGCAACAGCCACATTCCAAAAGCAACAACAACAACAGCAATTCCGGAACACGCGAACGTACACAGACGATTGGGGAAACGGACATAGATCAGTCGGTGCTCAATGGGCTACACCTGGTCGCCGACGGCAACTATCACGGTCACAAGCGTCAGCTGGGACACAGGTGAGCAACGGAGCAATAACAATAACAACGATGCATCACCTACATCCAATGTCTTATCAGCTGAGTCAACAACAGTCACTGTTAAGTTTCGTCAAGTATCGTCAAGCTTCGTTAAGATGACAACCAACTGCATTCTATGAATTATGCCTATGGATGAATAGCTTTTGGTTTTATCTTCATGACAGCGCATAAAATTCTCGCATTTTGTGAGAGACAGCGACAGCAGCATTAATTGCTTGGTATCTAATTTGCCTCCTGTTCAGGCTATATCCATATTTATGGATGGTATGCTGATCTTTACTGCGAGCAGCGTATCTGTGAATAGATTTTATATACGTTTAATCACAAAGCTGATTACTGATAACATTTTTTACCGTATCCTTAACCATCTAGAAATTGATAACAAAATTAATTTACTGAGAGGTGAAAGGTTTTTGTTAGGTGGCCAAGACAAATTAGTTGGGCTACAAAAGATTCATGAGATACCACAAGCAACTCGTAGTAAGTAGAAAAAGAATGCAAAAATTACTCGTTTGCGTATATAGTGTTGTAAAACGCATGCGCGCACAACACCAAATCTCTCAATCACGTAGGTAATTGCCGTCATTTGTTTATTCACATGAATAACTGTAATTCAAAGGTCAGACATCTTATTTTAAGCTGACAAAATTGTGTTAACTGTCAGACTTCGTGTTGCATTCAGTGTTGGAAAATGCTTAACACTAGCGACTGTTCTATCAGCTTGCCCTTAATCTCATGCGTAATATCCGTAGGGTTTTAACTCACATATGCTTATCTCTTTCGCTGACTATCAAGCTATCTGTCAAACTTTCCGTGCCCAAGCGTTATCTAATCAATCTTTCAATCAATCATTCCATCAAGCTGATTATTGGCTTTTTACTAATTTAAACTATCTAGGGTCTCATACTTAAAAATACATATATTATTCATGTCATATTTTACTACGCCAAAAGCTCAAGTCCCATCCATGGGGATAAGCTCTCCCCCAAACCCAAAACCAAAACCGTTTGCTCCGATTTGCATTTTGCACTCGCACATCCCGACTTTCACCTTGCTCTGCGAGTGGAAAGTTGTTGCATATTTCGAGGCGTGCGTGTTGTCAAGGGAGGCGTGGCGTTAGGGATAGGGTGTTGACAGTTTGCGGTTATTAACATGCCCTTGGCCATGCCTTCCGCTCTCTCTCTCTCTCTCTCTCTCTCTCTCTCTCTCTCTCTCTCTCTCGCTCTCACTTAATTAAAAGCTGGCAGCCTGCCTAATTGATGTCGTCGCCGGCAACGCACGTCGTATGCGCAATTTCGATAATTTTTCTAGTTTTTCCACCCCTTTTTTTTGTACCCTTCCAATTTCTACATTTTGCCAATTAATGTTAATTTCTGCGCACATGAGTTTTGCATGCGGTCTGACTAATCTCCGCTACTAATCAATGCTGATTAGCCAACCATAGCTAGCCAAGCGCCGCGAACCCCTCGGCCTCTTTACCGTGAAGAGGCTTTTCATTGGGAGGTAAATGTCGTAAATCAGGTAAATTGACATTTATGTGATTTTCGCTGGCAACGTTTATGTTTTGCTTTTCGATTTGCATTTCATACTCTAGAGAATCCCTTTGCTGCGAAATAGCTGCTTCTTCCCACACTGAGAAGAAAAATGAGCACGTGCTCTGCCCGGGCGCCATTTTGTCGCTGAGTTGAGTCGCTAGACGTGACCGTGCACCTGTTTTGCACGCAGCACAATTGCAAACAATGCCCCAGGAACATTGTCTTAAATCAAAAGGCTATATGCATTGCCATCTCCCAGACCCAGACCCAAACTCAGACCGAGGCCCAGGCCCAGGCCCAGAACCAGAACCAGACCCACACCCAGCGGCAGCCCCTGCCGCTTACATCAACGAATTGGGCGCTTGGCTTGGGCTCACGTAGTCGCACGCTTGCAACTTTTCGCGACGCCGGACGCGGAAACCCCCGTTACATCAGCAGCAGCAGCAGCAGCAGCAAATGTTGCAGCAACTGTAGCAGCGAGAGTTTAATGCAATTTGCATTTCACTTTACATTTTCTACTGTGTGCAATTTTTTTTTAGATAGTTTTATTTGAATTTTTATGGATAACCTTGATATTTATGACAACATTTTGCGTGGGCGATTTTAAATCTATATATTCACATGAACAAAAACTTTGCTTTTTTTCGTGGAACCAAATTAATTATGTTGTTGTTATTGTTATAGTTATTTGATTGTGTTTTTTATTATTTTTTGCATTTTATTATTATTACGGATGACCGTCCGGACGTGTAATTTATGCAGGCTTTTCCAGGCCTCTGCACAAGAGCAGTGAAAAAAATACTTACTGCAAATGGATTTGCTCTGCGGCTTAATGAGAAATACAATTTTCAACATTCATAATTGCTATCTACGGATAATCACAGGGGGAAAAAATGGGAAGGAAAATTGCATGTCTCAGGCATGAGTTAAGCTTTGGTTAGTTCCACCTTTTAGTGTAAAAGTTGAAACAGCTTAAAGGCCAAACACGTACGACAGATACAGAGAAAAATGGAAAAAGCTGCACTATTCATGGAAAATGCACTTTTGACTAACTTCGGTGCTTAAAGTCCGATTTTCAGTGCTTAAAAATGGCATGTAGAAGTGTGCACATACCAAAGCGCAAGGCCTTACCAAACGTAAAAATAATTGTTTCGGAGAAATCGGTGGGCGCTATCAAAAAAGTGGCATATTCCTTATTTGCGTATACGATACGATAACCTATGCAAGCTTGGTGTAAATAGCTTTTATAGTCATCGAGTTATGGTTAAAAAGCCCTGTCTTAATATCGATTTTCATCGATATTAAGAGAATGGGAGCATATATTAGGCAAAACTGATAAATTCGGATCGCTTATGATTCTAAAGAATATATAATTGAAAGTTTAAGGTCTATCGCTTTTGTAGTTCTCGAGATCTTCGTCCTGCCTGTATATCGAATAAATATTATATATGGGATTGGATATGCTTACTGCCTGTTAAAAACCTTTGCAAAAAGACACGACTTCGGCTTAAAGCTATTTGAAATGGTTGAAGGGCATAATCTCTACCAAGTAATATCCATTTATATATCAAAAATGTTTATCAGAATTCGCGTTAAACTTTTAATTAATACAGATATGGATATTTAAGTTTCGCTGACATTTATTATATTTATATATATATATATATATATATGTATATATATATTTTTTAAATTTGTATCTGTTTACCCATTCGTCTAATTAATGAGAAAGATTTTACATTTTCGTCACGCATTTTCCATTTGAATTCCGCGGAAAACAACGATGAAAAGCGTGAAAAACAAACTAATACTAAAAATTGAAGGTCAATTGAAACTAATTGAACCTTGCAGAATTGCGAATTTGATGAATTAACAAGAAATTTGAAATCATTTTCAGTAATTTTACTGAGAATCATTTCGCATGGTAGGCTAAAGTGGGCGTGGCCTCTGCGCAAATGTGACAATCTTTTGCACAACAACATTTCTATGTGCGTCATTAATATGGAAATAACATTTGTAGAGTAGCCAGCCCAATTGCCACGCCCACAGCCCCTGCCTTCCTACCAGCCTGCCACCTGCCACCACGTCACGTTTACGACGCCGCAAAAAAAAGAAAGAAAACAAACAAACAAAAAACACAAAATGCCCGTGTAAAAAGCGGAAAAAAAGTGGAAAATTACCGTGCAGGTTGGCAGGTTTTTCAAACTTGGCTTTCAGCTGGCATTCACAACCGCCAACGTTTACGTGCTAGCCGAGATTTGCAGAACTAAAGCAAGGATGACTCTGTAGTGCCAGCCAAACGACAGTGGCAATAATTAAACATATTCAAGACACTTGAGGTTGAGCACAAAAAACGTGTGCGCACAGCAATTCAATTTGTTTGCAGCGCTCTTGTAATTATATTTATTTAACACTCTTACGAATCTAGTTTTAATTGAGGAGAAAAACCAAAGAGATCCCTGAAAGTTATTTTAAGTGCTGCCAAATGAAGTTATTTTAATTGAATAGCATGGAAAAGCATGACATGAACGAAGTTCCGGGCTCGAAGCCCCTCTACATTTAAATATTGTAATTTAAATTAGTTCAATACACTTGACGCACACCCTCAAGCTCTTATTTGACGCATTTCCATTTCCACGCATTCGCCGAACTACTTTGCGCCACATTCGGCGGATTGGACTTGCCGCAATCGTTGAATCACGTTTAAAATTAGTTTGATTGAACTTTAAAAGATGCGTTTAATGTCAATGGCATGAAAAGGAAGATTTGCAAGAACAGTTTTTGAACTCTGGGAAATACTCAAAGAATTTGAATCCAATGAAAATTAAAGCCATAATCCCTACAACATTTGAGCCCGACGGGATGCATTTTTCGTAAAGTGTGCAACACGTCTCAAATGAATTTCCACAAAGATCCTTCATAAGCTATTTGACTGGATGGCAAACAGAAGAATATATTGTTTACAAACGTTTTCCGTCAATTTTTCACGCTTTCGGGTGGAAGTTTTTCGAAACCGCGTCACATGTGAAGAAGTTCCATCAGACAGCCAGTTTTATATATAGATTGAATATATTCTCTTACATTTGCAGACTATTTAATTTATTTACCAATTGCTGCTTTGAGCATTTCCTTCCTTTAAAGCATGTCCATTCGGCTGTTCACATATTAAATTTCTCACGCCACAAAAGCGACTGGCACCGATCCACCAGCTGCTCTCAATTAGATTAGATCTGACTGAGAGAGAGAGAGAGAGAGAGAAAAAGTAAAAAATTAATGTGGCAACAAGCGAAAAGAGCAACAATGACACAACAATTTAATTTACCTTTATTTATTTATTTGATTAATGAGAATCATGCCGCTCACTAGTTGGGCCTTTGTCCCTCGCTGGCCAACAGCATCCACTGAACAAGAGGAAGAGGAGCAGAGCAACAACAAGTACCGAGG